ATGTCTATACATGATAGCATGTGGTTAAGAATTGTGTGAGAAGGAGGGGAGATGGGCGCCTGGGTGGCTCAGTCAGTTGAGCATCCGGCTCTTGGTTGCGGCTCAGGTCATGATCTCAGGGTTGTGAGACCAAGCTCCAGATCTGCTTTCAGCAGGGAGTCTGCTTGGGATTCTCTCTCCCTCTCCCTCTGCCTCTCTCCGTCTCATTCTCTCTCTCTCTCTCTCCCCTGCAAAATAAATAAATAAGTCTATTTTTTAAAGATTTTTTTAATTTGAGAGAGAGTGCCCATGAGTGGGGGGAGGGGCAGAGGAAGAGGGAGAAGCAGACTCCTCACTGAGCAGGGAGCCCGATGAAGGACTCGATCCCAGGACCCTGAGATCAGGACCCAAGCTGAAGGCAGACACAACCGACTGAGCCACCAGGTGCCCCTAAATAAATCTTTAAAAAAATAAATAAATAAATTACATTTTTAAAAAAGGAGGGGAGGGAGGGAAGGACAAGGAAGGATGGAAGGAAGGTACAGATTTGCTGTCTTGTCCTCTCCTCTGGGGCTCCTAGGGCCCGCAGCCCTGCTTTGTGCCCAGAGGTCACACCCGGTCTAGTAGCCCCCAGACTCCCATGAAAGATTGTCCCCGGGTCCCGGCTGTGGAGGGCCTCAGAGCTGGGGACCGGCCCAGCTGTGCTGACTGTAAATATCACTCCCCACTCTGCGCGGAGCCTCCTGTCTTGGGCACCATCCCTGCAGACTTCAGGCACCATGCCCCTCAGGACCCTCTGCTGTCTGAGGGCAGCGCCCCATGGGTAGAAGCTTGGCTTTCCTTGTTCAGAAAACAAGCACAGTTTTAACAAGAGTTTAGCATTTATTAAGCTTATACTAAAACACCATCTCTCTCTGGTTCCTCATAGGAGCCCTGGGAGGGTGGTGCCTGATCTTTGTTTATGGGATGAAGGAAACTAAAGCTTCCGGAGGCTTCTCTCCCCCCACCTCCACCTCCAGGGCCCAGACGGGATCGTCTGAGACGGCCAGGGGACCTTGTAGCTCTGCCTACCTGCTCTTGATGGAGAGGAGACAGCAGCCACCAGGGCTCTCCTGCCCCTCCAGCCTGAGTCTTGGCCTCGAGAGAGCCACGGTGTGCGTGAAGCTGGAGATGTTGGGATCCAAATCTAAACGAAGTCACAGGAGCTGAGCCCTACTGGGCATTTTCAGAGCATGGCATACGTGAGCTCCAGTCAGCTACCACGTGCCAAGCCCTTTACACGCATCACAAAACAACCCTGGCAATGGATTCCATCAGCACCACTTACAGATGGGCCAGCTGAGGCACAGAGGGGTTATGTTACTTACTCAGCATCGCACAGCTCCGAAGCAGCAGAGAGAGCCAAGATTCGAACCCAGGGGTATAGCTCCAGAGTCTGTGCTGACCCTCCACTATTTACTGAGGCTTGCTAGCTTTTCAAAACATCCTACAAATACACACTTAGCTCCCTTCCCATGCCAGGCTTGGGAGCAAGAGGGCAGAATAAGGCATCTTCCGCTACTGCAGAACTAGGATCGGAGGAGACTGGGGAGGAAGGGGGGTTGGGGGGCACACTGTGGGAGAAGGGAGTTACCTCTGGGCCATGGAAAGGTGGCCATGGGCATGAGGGGGGTTGGTCTGGAAGACATGCCCCGGCCTGAGGTTCTGGAGGCCCAGGTCTTCATCTCACCTCTGCCACCAACTTCTGTGTGACCCTGGGCAAGGCTCTAGCCCTCCCTGGGCCTCAGTTTCCCCACCACACCAAGAGGAGTTTGGAGTGACTCCCTAAGGGGACAGGGCTGGCCAAACAAGTGGGTGGGCCTCAGGGTCTGCCCTCACCCTCAGGCAAGTGGCCCTATCATCTGAGTTTCAGTTTCTTTTGAACACAAAGTTTGGGCCTAGGCTTCTTCGGACTTGTCTGTGCCCCTGAGCTGGTAGCTCTAGAAGGCTTTCTGGAAGAGGCGGCTTTGGACCTGAACGAGAGGGAACTTTCTAGGTCCTTGGCACCCTTCGGGGGTCTGTGGCATCCTGTGACCTGGACCTACTCTCAGGTCTCCAGCCCTGGAAGGCTGCATCTTTTCAACTTCCCCTGCCCTCCTGCCCAGGCCCACTCCAAAAACTATATAAAATGTACAAGTTTGCATTCCCTGTACAGGATGCCAGGATAGGGGCAGGGGAGTTCACTTAACCCTCGGATGGTGTTGTGGGGGGAGGGGGAGGAGGAGGGATTGATTTGGGCTTTCTAGACTCAGCAGAGAACTTTCTAGAGTCATAGACAAGGATTCAAATCCCAGCCATGCCCCTTCCAAGCTGGGTGACCTTGGGCCAGTTGCTTGACCTCTCTGAACCTCCTTGGTACCTATCTTGCAGAATTATTGTGGGGATGAGCAGTATGCTTGGCATACACTAGGCGCTCGATGAATGGGGCTGCTAAAATTACTCCTCACGGGGTGGGGGTGGGGGTGGGGGTGGGGGTGGGGGTGGGGGTGGGGGTGGGGCACAGGGCCGGCAGCCAGGCCTATATTTAGCCTGGAAAGGGTGGGGGGCCCCGGGGAGACAAAGCGCCAGAGCCAGCCCAAGCGCCCAGGGGGCGGAGCCGATGAAAGAGGGCCTGCCGTCCCCATCTCCCCGCCCTCCTCCTCCTCCGCAGGGTCACCTTGGTGAGAGGACTCTCTCAGACACAGCTTCTGCTCTGTCCCCTACGAAATCTTCATCTCCCCAAACCTCGGTCTGGGGAGAGAGCTGCTGGGGCCGGCGGGTGGGTGCATTGGGCCCCACCGACCATGAGGGGGTAGCTGCCCCTTTTCCCAGCCCGGGGCTGCCCGCCGCCCAGCCCCGCCCCCTTCGCGACCCAGGGTGTCGGGAAGCCAAGGTGAGCCTGACCCTGGGTGGGGGTCGAGGGAGACGGGGAAGCTGCCCTGGCTCCACCCCCAAGCCCCGCGCCGCGGATGAGTTTCGGGGCTGCAAATAGCCCAGTGGAATCAGTGAGTCACAGAGGCTGGAAATACCGCACCCCCTCTTCCCTCTCCTCCCCTCCTCCCCTCCTCCCGCCTGCAGCCCGCGCTGTGCTGGGGAGCGCCTGGCGCTCGGGTTTCAGTGGCGCCTCGTGGTGTTGGGACTGGGGTGGGGTCCCTCCAGAGCGCACCCAGACTCCCCGAAGCAGCCAGCCCTCCAGCCGGGGTCCAGCCCTGCCCTGCGGCTGGGCTGTGCGACCCTGAGCCGGTCACTCCGCCAGTCTAGCCCTCACACAAGCTGGGCTTCAAGAGGGCAGGTGACTCAGGACAGCTGGCCTGCCTTTGGTGTCCTTGTGCCTGCGACAGTGCCTGGCAGTTGGGAGAGAAGGCACTGCAAGGTTTTTCAGGGACATGATGCTGGCGTTCCTGCTCAGGTGGGTCTGGGAGCCGAGGGAGGAGGCCAAGGGACACCCACATTTCTGTGAGGTCCTTGAAATGTACTTGAGTTGCCACCCCTGGCCCCACATCTCAAGGAAGGCATGTCAGTTTATTCTGGGGGTTCTCCCCCTGGCTGCCTCCAGCCCCATCCCAAGTTTGAGAACTTAGGCAGGTGATCTCCAGCAGTCTGTGATTCTGTTGTTTATTGTATGTGCAGGGTACAATGCTAGGGTCTTCCGTGCCCCCTTCCACCACCCTCCCCCAGCCGCCCCCTAAGGGCCCCAGAATGGCAGGGGTTAGAGGCCACCCTAGAGAACACTGACCCAAGCGGTGCAGAAGGGAGAAGCTGGCCTCGCCTCCTGCCCCCAGAGGGCCTCAACTACTGTGAACCACCCGGTCCCCCCCACCACTGCTTTTGTATTTTGGACCTCCCTGGAGGTCCCCTGCCCTGGACAGGAGACTAGGAGGGAACTGGGTTGGGGGATCTTCCTACAATCCGGCACTCTCCAGCTTGAAGATGTGGGGCAGGATGCAGAGGTCACAAGAGGCAGAAGGAGGGGCGCTACTCCCCAGTGCTCAGAGGGGAGGGGGTCAGTCTGAGAGCAGCTTTCACAGCCTGGGTTCAAATCCAGCCTTTAATGAATGAGCCAGGCTTTCAACTGCTCAGTTTCCCCATTGATAAAAATAGAGATTGTAAAATCTGGTTTTCGAATATGCTGAATTCAGCCTCAGCTAATGGTATTGTTCAGTATTTGAAGGACGTGACTACGGGCACGTGTATGTGGTATATATATACACACACCAAGCCTATAGATTCATCGATTAAAGAGGGGCAAGGATGGGGGAGGTGCCTGGCCACAGGGGAAGGTTGACAAGAAGCTGGGGTCCAACCTTGAAGACCCAAGGCCCCATCCATGCTGTCTCTCCCACCTCAGCTGGGTGACCTGTCTGCAGGGGAGGCAGCCGCAGGAACCCCAGTCTCAGGGTGGGAGGAAGGACCAGCCCCACCCCTCAGCGAGGCCTTGCCTGGGGACACAAGCGGCGGGGGGTGGGCAGGGGTGCTGTACAGTTTATCACGAACCAGGTGTATTGGAAGAACCCCATCTATATACAGACATTGTGTGGCCCCGCCCCGGCAGGCTGGTGGGGGCACCAGGTAGGCAGGCAGCCTGGCTCTGGGCTTAGGGCTTGGGGCTTGGGGCTTGGGGCGTGGCAGAGGAGAGGTTCCCCGCCGGGGCTGTCCCCTCTGGCTTCCCTGTGCAGTTCCACTTGGATCAGCACCTCTGCCTCCCCCCCGCTCCCCTCGGTCAAGGGGGTCCCAGGTCCCTGTCCCCTCCACCCCCGCCCTGCAGAGACTCCAGAGATCAAAGGATTTGTCCGTCTGTCTGTCTTGCAGATTATTTGCCTGGAGATCCTGCCTGTCCCAGTCCCCCTTTCCCCAAAGTGGGTTCTCTGGGAGCTTCCTTTCCCATCTCAATCCCTTTATCCTGGATTCAGTGAAAGAGGCCACATCTGGAATCTGGGGGCCGTAGGCGAGGCAAAAGTTTCCCTGGCCTGCCCTGGGGAGCAGAAGGCCTCAGTTTAGGGGGGGGATGAGCCACCTCAGGGCCTGGAGCTTGAGCTGGGAAGTGCTGCAAGCTGTCATGAGGGGTGAGGCAAACTTCTCTGGCAGGCCAGTGTGGGGAGAAGGGGGGGAGCAGGAGGGGACAGGGACGGGGAGGTCCTCAGATTTTGATCTCTGTCCGGAAGGTCTGCTGGCCGTGCTCCGTGTGCAGGTGGCGCCGGGCCCGGACGGTGAGGCTGCCGTCCTCCCTCAGGGCGGAGGTCACCGAGGTGGGATCCACGTCCTCGGGCAGCTGGCACTTGTGAGCGAAGGTGTTCATGACCGTGCCGTCAGCTGCCAGCTGGGGAGGGGTGACGGGTCAGCGCAGGGTGCCCCACCCCGCCCCGTCCCGCTCGGGTCAAGCCGCAGTCCCTTCTCCCTCGTGTCACGCCAGCCAGGCCCCCACGCGCCCGTGCTGAGGGGCTGGCCCGGGTGGCGGTGGCAGGGACAGCGACAGAGGGGCTCAGAAGAGCCCCAGTGCTTCCACGGGGGCGGGGGGGGCCGGTGGCTAGCTCAGAGAGGGAGGAGCTCTGGAGTAGCAAAGAGAAGACAGCCCGGAGCAGGGGGGAGCAGGGCCGTGCCCTCGGGAAGGCCCAGACACATCGGGGTGTCAGCAGCCCGGCGGTCGGGCCGCCCCTCCCCCCATGGCTTGGCCTGCATGCAGTGTCCAGAGGAGCCTGGGGTGGCTGAGTCACTGGGGCGGCGGGGGGAGATGCAGGCTGGCACGTGCTGCCCGCTGGTCCTGGTGCCCACAGTCCTCGGCTTCTCTGGTAGAGGTGCCAGGGCAGCTAGCCTCTTGTGCTCAGCAGAGGAAGCCAGGCCTTGGAGGATCCGCAGGAAGCCTTGGACAGACCCTCTGGGGCAGCACCCTTGGTCAGGCCGGGCCACACCCTCCTCCCCAGTAGAGGCCTCCTGGGAGCTGGGACTCTGAGACCCTAGTGACCCAGTGACCCTGAGACCCGTGAGTGCAGGGACTGTGGGGTGTGGAGTGCGTCTGACCCTGAACGGCAGGGCCTCTGCCCAGCCTTGGGCCCCGTTCAAGGATCCCAGGATGGGGCCTGAACCTCCGGGTAGGGGGGAGGAAAGAGGGGCTTGAAGGGTGTCACGTGGGGGAACACTTCCCCCCAGCTTCCCAGGGGAGCCCCCCACCTACCCACATGCCTGCCAGAAAAGGTGTCCCCACTCAGCTACCATCTGCATCCTCTCGGCTCCCCCCTCACCTCACCTCCTCAGGTGCCCCCTGCCTGCATCCTTCCAGCCCTCTCCCATTCCCCTGTGACTCCCTCAGCTGCCCTTTGGCTCCTGAACAAAGGATCTCAACGCCTTGGAGCAGGGAGAGGCAGTGGTGGGGGGACGGGGCGGTGGGGGTCCCTCGGCCTACAAGCAACAGGAGCAAGGTCTCCAGTTTGCCCTGGGAGGTTGTGGGGGGCACTAGTCAGCGTCTGGGGTCCAGGCAGGGGCATGGGAGTGGGGACGCCGGGCAGAGAGTACAGATGTGGAACCGGGCAGGATGGGCAGGCTCACCTTCTCAGCCCGCACCTCGATGTGGTTGTTGGAGGTGGTCACAATGATGTCTTCAGGTGAGAAGTCACTCACATCCACTGCAAACTCGTAGGCATCCCCGAGGGTCTTGATGTTGCCCGGCCCCCCGGGACGGGCTATGGGGGAAAGGCTGTTGTGAGCTGAGCCCCGGGCAGGCCTGCCTCTAGAACCCGGGTTTTTGGCTCCTCTTGGGGAAAGGGGCAGGCCCCCAGGCCTGACTCCCCCTCAGCTGTTGTTCCTAACGCCCCTGCCCACCTCCCCTCACCTCCTGCAGCCCACCTTTTCCGTGGTGGGCTGAGTGACATGTGTGGGGCAGCCCACCCAGGCCTGGAGGCTGGGGGATGTCTCCCACCCCTCAACCCCATCTAGTCCTCCAGAGCTCCAGCGAGGACCTGGCCACAGGCCCTGTGTGGCCACTGGTGTCCGAGCTGACCCCTGGGGCCCCAGCTGTTCTCAGAGGTCGGCCTGTTCTTGGGGCCACATCTGTCTCTGTGGCCACATCTGTCCTGGTAGCCACACGTGGCTCCGGTCGGGCGGCACCGCGTTCTGGGCAGCTCGGCGGCCGCGTTCACAGGTGCCCTGGCGCAGGGGTTCCCTCCCTGAGCATCTCCCCTCCGAGCCCTAACAACTTGCCTGGGAAGGCCAGGGGCTCCGAGTGGGGCCGCATGAAGCTGCCAAAATCCTCGGAAAACATGCTCAGGGCTTTCTCCATGGGCGGGTCCTGGGCTGGGAGGGCACGGGAGGCTGAGGAGGACGAGGATGAGGACGAGGATGAGGACGAGGAGGAATGGAAGCTTCTCTCCGCTCTGAAGGTGGAGGAGGTCCTGTGGCTCATCCACGGGCCAGCGGCCGGGCCCTGGCCAGGCGGGCAGGGGGACAGGAGAGCGTGTGGGCAGCAGGCTCTGGGGGAGCGTGCCCGGCCCTGATTGCCGGCGCTTTATAAGGGCCCGACCGTCCCTGGGCTTGGGGCCAGCCCCTTGTCTCCCAGCTAAATTTAGGCCTCGCCTCGGCCCAGAGGGGGCTGGAAATCCTCTCTGGTGAGGCCACACTGCTGACAGTCCAGCACACGCAGGCCCAGGCTGAGCTCACAGCCCGGCATTCCAGGCCGATAAGTCCAGCCCGGGGCCCCCGCAGCGGCGGGGCCGGGGGCAACCTGTCCTCTCGCCACTCAGACCCCCCATGCCCGCCACAGGACCTTGTGTGTGTGTGTGCGTGGTGTTTCTGTGTCCCTGTCTCCCCCATCAGCCTGGCCGGGGGGAGGGGCTTAAGGACTGTGCCTCCCCCATCAGATTGCAAGCTTCTTGAGGATAGAGTTTTCTGTTTCCTGTCCCCTCTCCCCCAAAGTTCCAGTCCTTGGTAAGAGGGGATCTAGGTGATGGGCAGTCAGGTCAGCAGAGGCCCAAGCACCTGGCTCTGGGGAGAGCAGGAGATGCAAGATCAGAAGGTAGGGGTTGGTGGAGGACCTCCACCTGTTGGACCCCTGCGTGAGGTGAGAGACTCCTTCCCTCAGGGCAGATAATGTTTACAGCCATCTCTTAGGAAGGACTGAGAGCCCTGGAGGGGGGCGCGGGGGGAATGTGCAGCTGTCCCCCTGCCCATTCCCACGGGGACCCAGATTCTGTGCTTGCCCTCCCCCCACTCTCAGAACATTTTGGGGCCCCAAGAGGAGGAAGCTGGCGGCCCTTGGCCAGGGTGGGGGTTGGGCCAGGACTCAGGGGAGGGGGGCAGATAATTTGGTGGTAAGTGTCCTTAAAGGTCTAGAGGGTTATGTTGCTGGGAACTGTCTGCTTGACCTCCAGCTCAATGGAGATGCTCAGGACTCCGGTGGGCTGGATTTCAGGGAGAGGTAAAGGAGAATTCCGGAAGACGCTATTTTAGCTCTGAATTCTGGAGTGCCTCCTGGCTGTGAGCTTTCCAACACCGCCCCACTTGATCTCCACACAGCTCGGCTTGGGAAAGAGGTGTTGTTCCCGTTTTATAGGCGGGAACGCGGAGCCTCACCGAGGGGGCGGGCCTTGCACGTGGGTAAGTGGCAGAGCTGGGATTCGGACCCAGGTGGGTCTGATTCAGAGCCCCTCCAGGAGGAGCGCCTGGGTGGCTCAGTCAGTTAAGCAGCTGCCTTCGGCTCAGGTCATGATCCCAGGGTCTTGGGATCGAGCCCCACATAGGGCTCCCTGCTCAGACTCGGGGGTAGTCTGCTTCTCCCTCTGCCCCTCCCCTGCTCCCTGCTTATTCTCTCTCTCTCTTTCTCTCTCTCTCTCTTAAATAAATAAATAAAATCTTAAAAAAAAGAAAAAACCCTCCAGGAGGCTGGGGTGACCTGACCATACGTGTATGGAGACAGACTGGCCCAGAAGCCCCTCTCTAGCCACCCACGGCTCAGCAGAGCCAGGACTGACATCCTGCGGGGCCAGGGGGTGAAGCAGGAGAGGCTATTCTGGGCGGTGGGTGCTGCCCAGGCCACGGTGTGGGGTTTCTGTTCTTCTCTCCAAATCCTGCCCTTCCTGCCCAGACCTGCTCTGATTCCCCCACCCCCCCGCCACCATGAAGGCCTCTGTGATTGCTGCAGCCACACAGGGGCCCCTGCCCAGAGGCCCACCCCAGCACCTGGCACTCTGACATGTCTTCCTGGGTCCGTGACTTCTCTGTCGTGTCCTCACTCCCCCATCAGACTGGTGGTTCCCCTGGTGCAGGGGTCCGCCTGTCTCCCTGTTAGATTGGGGGCTCCTGAAGGTGGGGACTGTCTTTCTTTGGCTCCCACAGAACACCATCCTTGTGGGGCTCCATCTAGAGGTAATCACTGGTGCTGGTGGTCCGTGGGTGGGGGCAGCGTGGAGCTGGGAGCTGGGGGGTGGTTGGAGCAAGAGGGGTCTGTCATTCTAATGGAGGTTCCTGCTGGGCCCGTGTCACCCACACTGGCTGAGGGCTTCCAGTGGGACTGCCAGGAAGTGACCAGCACAAGGCAAGATGGAAAGAGGGTAGGGGCGGGGGGGGGGGGCCCACAGGCCTCCCGCCCGCCAGGGAAACAGGAGCTGGTGGCTAAATGCAGACACGCTGTCATGGTGCTGAGGGCCTGAGTCACTGCTCCTGGACGTCAGATCCCGTTACCCACCTCCGCCCACCATTCCTCCTCCCCTTCCTCCTATCCCTGAGGCATCGCCCATAAATGTACTGGATCTACTGACTTCAGGGGCCAGGAGGGACCTCAAAAGGTCATCAAGGCCATTCCCCCTGTCTCTGGGCATGCTCTCCCTCCAGATCACAGGGATAGAAGGAACTTCCGAGATGATCCAGTGCCTTGAATCCCAATCACCTGGGAGAACTTTCAACACACACAGACTCTTCCCTCTGCACCCCAAGATTCTGATTTATGGTCTTGGGAAACGAGCAGGCATCTCTTTCCGTTAGGTTTGTGCACAGCCAGCCGGCAGGCCAGCGTTTGGAAACTGCTCATCACTCAGCAGATATTTATGGAACACCTGCTCTGTGGGGGGGGCCCTGTTCTAGGTTCTGGGGGAGTCATGATGAATGAGGAATGCGTGCATGACTCCCCAGCTCTCCTCATGGGACAGAAGAGGACACCAAGGTTCTGAGTGGTGGAGGACCCGTTGGGGTGAAAGAGCTGTTCTAGCATCCAGCCTGCTCTTACCCTCCACAGCTGCTGGGGCTTGATGCAGGAAAGTGGCTTTGGGAGGGGCTCTGCTCCCCTCTCCCCAGTTTCCTGGTGTTCCCAGGGCTGGGAGGTGAGGGCGTGGACATGCAGCACCTGCTGGGCAGCTGATGCTGGCTGTGGGATTATACTGGGGTTTGGGATGTCAACAGGGCAGCCAGGTATCCTGTTACTGTACGCAGTCACCAGCTGGGTGTGGCAAGGTGACAGTGGGCCCAGCCCGTGCAGAGCTGCAAGCCCCGTCCCGCCTCCCACCACATACACACGTGCTCCTATTTTGGATGGACGTAGCCAGGCACCCAGGGGCAGAGGGTGGCTCAGGGTCCCAGGATTTTAACAAGTCCCCGAAGGGCCATCATGATTTTCAGAGAGGAGATTTGTCCGGGGGAGGGAGAGAGAGGAGTTATCCCAAATCTCTTGCCCAAATCTTTCCAAAAGTGACATCAGACCCAAATCCTCTGCTTTGTGCCCAAACCCTTGACCTGACTGATGAAAGCCACGGGGGCTGGAGGAGCTCTGGGGAGGGGAAAAGCCAGACAGTCTAGGTCTGGGTTCAGCCTCTGCTGTGTGACTTTAGAGAAGTCACTACACCTCTCTGATCCACTATCATCTGCCAAATGGTGATGCTGCCCTTGACTCACAAGGATGCGGGAGGATGAACTGTGTTGCAGACATAAAGGGCCCGGTGTGTGGCTGGCACATAACCTGTGCTCGTTCCCTCCCCCGCATGTCCTCGTCCCTACCCTCTGCTGGGGCAGGACCATCTGCGGCATATACTGGGAAGCACTGTGGTTTGAGGGGTATTTCTCTGAGGCTAGAGGGGCTGGACCTGAGGATCAAGTTCAAGTTCCTCCCCAGGCCTCAGAGGCCTGCGGGGCCCCACATCACCGCCCCTGCTCCGGCTTGTCGGTCTCCTCCCCACCCCTGAGCAAGGTGGGCGGCGGAGCCGTGTGCAGGCTTTGAGGTCTGGCAAACCTGGCTGGGAATTCCGGCTCTGCCCCTCGGTCTCTGTGACCTTGGACAAGCACCATCACCCCTCAGAGACTCCAATTTCTTTAACATGGGATAGTACCTCCCACCTTGTTGGGTTTCTGTGAGCACTCACTGATTCTGGGGATGGCTGAGCACAGTGCCTGGCCCACAGTGAGGGCGCGGTAGTGATGGGGCCCCTCGCCTTTGCCCAAGCTCTCCCTCCAGCTCCGTCGGCTTTCTCCCCTCTCCCTTCTCTGCTTCCTCAAACCCTTTCTGTGTCCAGCTCTGAGAATCCAGCCCCTGCAGAGGACCCCTCACTGTGTTGCTGTGTGCAGGAGCTTCTGCTCCCCCCATGTCCCCCAGCCTGCAGCAGGGAGCCCCAGCGTGGTCGAGCGCCACTCTCTGCGTGGCTCTCCTGGGTTCTAGGGAGCTCCAGCTTCCGGCCCCCCTTGGCTGTTCTGGCCTGCATGGCTCAACTGGCCTGGGCAGTTCTGGATGGTTTGTCAAGGACATTCTTAATGGCCAGGGTAAACCCCGACGGAGGGGGGGCACCCAGGATGTGGATTGGTGGAGCACAGACCTGTCCAGGAGCACCTGGGCTGCAGGCAAAGGAGCCTCTGTTAGAGGAGGGCCGGCTGGGGCCACAGCAGGGCCGACGGACAGAGGTGAGGGGCTGCTGGGTGTGGAGCGGGGCCCTGGACTTGGGTAGAACCTGCCAGGGCCAGGGCAGGCGGGGCAGGAGGAGGCTGGGCGGCAGGGAGCCGGCACCTCATTACAACCCTCCTGGGCTGTCCTTCTGGGCCTGCCGTTTACCTGCCTCTGTGGCCTGAGCAGAGGAGAGGGGGCTCAGGGACGGGCATGGGGGACCCCACAGTGTGAGTGACTGCTGGGAAAGGAGATCACTCTGTGCAGTGGAGGCAGCCAAGCGTTGAGGGTAGGATCGGTGCCCACAGCAGGGGTAAGGGAGTTCTGAGGCCCGGGGTCCCACCTTGACCAATCTGGGGCTGGACACAGAGGACACAGGAACCCCAGTCCCCACCCCACACCCTAACACAGATATGCGCACCCTCGGCGACACCCCCTCTGTGATGAGGACACATCAGACCTCTGTCCCCTCCGGATAGCTTCACATACACTTGCACATGCACGCACATGTGTGCACAGGAAAACACCTCTGTTCCTTTTTATCTGGGAAGTAGCGGTATTGGGAGGGCCAGGTGGCTGGGTAAGGGTATGGGAGCAGCTTACCAAGGGTCTATCTGTCTGTCTGCTCAGGGACCCAATGGAAGAGCTGGTGGGGCTGCGTGAGGGCTCCTCGGAGAGCCCTGTGAGTCTTCGGGAGCTATGGGGCCCGTGTCCCCGCGTCCGCCGAGGCATTCAAGGTGAGAGCTAGGCCCCCTTCCTCTCCCTGTCGAAGACCCCTCAGGACATCGCCCCTACCCGGACCCCACCTCCCCCACCCACCTTGAAACCCAAGAGCTGCCCAGCCTTCATGTGCCCACAATCTCCGGGTGGCAGAGAGGGGAGGGACCTGTCTGCCAGTCCATCTGCCTGTGGGTCTAGAGGTCTGCTCTCTGCCTTCGGGGAAAGCAGCCCCCAAGCCTGATGGCCGTGCTAGGGGCCTTGCTCGGGGCCCAGTATGTGCTGCCTGGCCTGACCTCAGAGCGGCCTGTAGGATAGACCCGCAGGTCTGGAGACAAGGGGGTTCCTGCTAGACTTGTGTTCTCTGTGCTGTGCCCTGTGGAGACACTGGAGAAAGCCGTAGCTCTCGGCACACCCTCCCCAGCCCCTGCCGGCTCCATCAATCTTCCATGAGTATCCAGTGTGGGGTGGGGTGGGGAGGGTGCACAGGTCAAAGGTCCCCTAGCGGGGCCCACAGGCCTGGCACCCACTGTATTGCTGCCTCCACTTGCCACAATTCCTGCTTTGCCCCTCATGCACAGAACCCCTTCTGAGCCACCTTGGACTTGACCCCACGGCCCCAGCCCCACACTGCCCCTGCCCTCCCTGCCCTGGGCCCGGGCAGGCCTCCAGGGAAGGGGTTGTCCATGCCCCCCCCCCCCGGCCCTGGGCTATGACCCAGTGCCCCTGCCCCAGGTGGCCTGGAGTGGCTGAAGCAGAAGCTGTTCCGCGTGGGGGAGGACTGGTACTTCCTGATGACCCTCGGGGTGCTCATGGCCCTGATCAGTTACACCATGAACTTCGCCATCGGGCGCGTGGTCCGAGGTAACCCCTCCCTGGCACGCACACCTACTCTGGACACAGGCTTCCACGCACGCTCTTGGGATGCCAGATGGGCCGCCAGGTGCATCGCGGGTGGAGGAGGGCTCGGGGTAAGGGAGGAGGCCTGGGTCTGGTCCAGGATTTGCTCTTGACTTGCTGTGTGACCCTGGGTAGGCTCCTGCCCCTCTCTGGGCCTCAGTCTCCTCATCTGCACAATGAGCAAGAGAGACCTGAGTGTTCCCAAGAGCCCTTCTTCCTCTGAGCTCTATGCCCACCTCTTCCCGCTGCCCCTGTTCCTTCTCCTCCCTCCCTCCTTGCTTTCAGTTCAGTAACAGGGGAGGGCACTTGCTTAGACCACCAGACATAGAACTTTCTTTCCCCATGCTTCAGCAGGCTCTCTCCACCCTGAGCTCTCCCAGGAACAGGGGGCATGGGCAAGAAGGTTCTAAAACCCTCCTGGTAGACTTGCTCAGGTGCCATCCTGAGGACCTGCTATGCATCATGCACTGGACATCATTTGAGTGCTTTCTCGCAATGACCCCATGAGGGAGCTGCCATCACTAGCCCATTTGACAGATGGGGAAATGGAGGCTCACAGAGGTTAAGTCACTTGCCCAAGATCATTCAGTGGGTAGTAGCAACACTGGGCTGTGGATCCAGGGTCCCAGTCCTGCCTCCGTTTGGGCATCTGACATTCACTGGGTGACCCTGGGCCTCCCCTCGTCGAGCCTCCATTTCCAGTCAGTGGACACCTGAGGGCTGCCAAGGCTATGATGGCTCCCTGACTCCCGGGGTGTCCCCAGCACACAAATGGTTATACCGGGAGATTGGGGACAGCCACCTGCTCCGGTATCTCTCCTGGACCGTGTACCCTGTGGCCCTGGTCTCCTTCTCCTCCGGCTTCTCCCAGAGCATCACGCCCTTCTCTGGAGGTGAGCCATGTGCCTGTGTGCCTGGCACCAAAGTCTTTCCGTATCCCTCGGGGCTTCTGATGGGGGCAGGCAGGAGGCAGTGACCCCATGTCACAGCCAGAGAAGCCAGGCTCAGAAGTGTCGTGTCGCTTGCCCCAAAGTCACACCGTGAGAAGGACTCTGGGGTCACTGCTGGCTCCGCTTCCTTTCTGAGGGTGCTTCTGGTTGATGATGGGGAGCCCTGGCGGCAGGGTCCCCAGGGAGGGGCTGAGGGAGGGGCACAGCTCCCCCAGGCCTCAGCTCTGCATCCAGCTCCAGGCCAGCGCTGGGGAGCTCCAGGGGTGCAGCCAGGGGTGGCCTGATATTCTATCCTGGGTCCCCCACATTTGCCGTAGCTCAGGTTCAGCTGGAATAACACGGACAACTCCCGTCCCCTCTCTGACCTGCAGCTTCCTCATCTGCAAATGAGTTTACAGATCCTAACTCAGGGTTTTGGAGGACCTGACAAGATCATGATGTGACACATTTTGGGCAGGGTGAAGTGTTGAGAGTGTAATCTAGAGACCGTCCCTCCTCTTGCCCCCTGTCCATCCCCTGCCAAGGTTCTGGAATCCCGGAGCTGAAGACTATCTTGTCAGGCGTGGTGTTGGAGGACTACCTGGATATCAAGAACTTCGGGGCCAAGGTGGCAGGCCTCACCTGCACCCTGGCCGCCGGCAGCACCGTCTTCCTGGGCAAAGTGGTACGGCAGGCGTGAGAACGCCCCACCCCGCCCCTCTGCCTTTTCCCTCTTGCCCCACAGAAGCTGGATCAGTGGCGACTCAGGCCAGTGCCTGCCTTCAGGGCTTCAGGCCTGGGGAGGGGCAGGCTAGGTCCCCAGAGTGTGACAAAAGAGCTGGGGAGACGGAGGACGAGGGTGCGGATGGGCAGCCATGTAGGTCTGGACGAGGCTCTCTCTGCCCCCCAGCCCTGGGCCCCAAGGGGGAGGAGTAAGGGCTCTGAACTCCCCCCCTCCCCGGCAGGGCCCCTTCGTGCACCTGTCTGTGATGATCGCAGCCTACCTGGGCCGGGTGCACACCAGGGCCATTGGGGAATCTGAGGTAAGGGGGCCGGGGAGGGCCCCCCTTGGAGGAGCGAGAGGGAGGGCAGGGTGGCGGCTGACTCCGAGCCCCCAACTCGGGGCCCCCCCAGAACAAGAGCAAGCAGAACGAGATGCTGGTGGCGGCGGCAGCTGTGGGCGTGGCCACGGTGTTCGCAGCACCCTTCAGTGGTGAGCTCCTGCCCCTCCCTCGCACCCTGGGGCCCCCCACACCACTCCTGTCCCCCAGCGCTGCCGACCTCGCCGCTCACTCCTCTGTCCCGCTGAGGGCCCCAGAGGAGGGGTGCAGGCTTACTGCAGTCCTTTGGGGGCACATCCACCCCAGGGGGGGTGGAGGTGGGTGACAAGACGCCTCAGGGTCACATCCCGTAGACTTGGGTTGGAGATCCCGCTCCCCTGTGTGACCCTGGGCCAGCGAGTTCAGCTTTCAGCTCCCTGAGCCTCGTTTCCTCGTCTGTAAAATGGGGCTAATCGCCCCACGCCATAGGGCTGTTGTAGGGATTGAGATGGCCCAGGAGGGCACAGGCGGGTACACTCCCTGGGCTCCTGCCTGGCCTCCCTTGCTCCAGCTCAGGCCCAAAGAGAGGGGGGAGCCTGTCTGCGGGGGCTGTAGGAGAGCAGGACGGGAGGGGTCAGGGCGCTGGGATGGATGGAGGTGGGGCTCCGCCTAAGCTCAGCATCACCTTCAGGCGTCCTGTTCAGCATTGAGGTCATGTCTTCCCACTTCTCTGTCTGGGATTACTGGAGGGGTTTCTTCGCTGCCACATGCGGAGCCTTCATGTTCCGCCTCCTGGCGGTCTTCAACAGCGAGCAGGGTGAGTCCCCCGTTAGACCGCCAGACCCCAGCCCTGGCTCCCTCCCCGTCCCCCCCCCTCCCATCTTTTCTCCCTCTCTCCTCTCCTTCCTGACCTGACTTAGCGCCACCTCCACTGCTGTTTGTCAAGTCTGGGACTTGGGTTTGGCTGGGGTCAGGGTATGGTCCCTGATCTTTCCCCTCCTGCCCCAGAGACCATCACCTCCCTCTACAAGACCAGTTTCAGGGTGGATGTCCCGTTCGACCTGCCGGAGATCTTCTTTTTTGTGGCACTGGGGTGAGTGAGCACCTCGGGTCCCTTGAGAGCCCAACTGGGGGCCTCGCCCAGGCCTGAGCCACTGCCCTTGTTTCTGGGGCGGGGCTCTGGCCTCACCTTCCCTCCCCAGGGCCATCTGCGGTATCCTGAGCTGCGCTTACCTCTTCTGTCAGCGAACATTCCTTGGTTTTGTCAAGACCAACCGGGTCATCTCCAAACTGCTGGCCACCAGGTGGGCTCTGGACAGGGACTGGGGACCTCTCAGGGAGGACAACCCCCCTCCCTTCCTCAGCCTCCTGAGCCCATAGCTCCCTTTGATAGAGAGCCCCACCCTCTGACTGCACTGTCATCCTCCTACTGAGCCCCCCAAAACTTCCTAGCCCACACTCCACTTAAGGAACCCCTATTCCCTCCTAACACCCCTCTCCAGCTCCCCACAGTCACTGCTCCACACCCCCACCCCCAGTTTGCTGGGCTACCAACCCTTCCATGTTCTCCCCATTCCTCCTGAGTCTTCGCTCTATCACGGAGCTTGCACCCCCCCCCCCACCGAAGCCCTACTTTCCCACAGAGCCAGAAGCCCTAACCAAGCCCCTCTCCTCCCCAAACCTTGCCTGCCCCCTGGCATTGGCACCTGCCCCAGGCCGGCCATGCATGGCCCACCCTGGCCTGGTGGAGCTCTGTCCCCAACTCTCACCACAGGTTTCCTCCCCTGGAGGGGGGCTGGCCTATGGCCCCCACTCCTCCAGTTTCTGCCTCAGTGCCGACCCTCGGGGTGGTGGGGCCTGCTCTTGCCCGTCTCCCCCTCCCTGTGGTGGGGGAAGAGGAGGACCAGCACTGGAGCTTACCCCCCACCCCCACGCCCCACAGCAAGCCTCTGTATTCCGCCCTGGCGGCCTTGGTTCTCGCCTCCATCACCTACCCCCCTGGCGTGGGCCACTTCCTAGCTTCTCGGGTAAGGGGCGCTGAGCTGGGGTGGGGTGGGAGTGGAGAACCCCCATTTGTCACCCACATTTGTGCCTGTCATCTCACTTAATCCCCACAATACCTGTAAGGGGAAGCCTGTGGGTCATCCTCATGTTCCAGATGAGGACACTGCAGGCCTGGGAGGTCAGAGCCCTTCCCAAGGTGGGAAGTGGCAGAGGAGGACTTGAGGTGGGGTCAGGGTGAAGGGGTGGCAGCAACTGCTGCCCAGCGCCCTCCTGCAGTTCCCACCTGTCCCCTGAGCCAGCTGTCCATGAAGGAGCATCTGGACTCACTGTTCGACAACCACTCGTGGGCGTTGATGACCCGGAACTCGTCCCCTCCCTGGCCCGAGGAGCTCGACCCCCAGAACCTGTGGTTTGAATGGTACCACCCACGGTTCACCATTTTTGGGACCCTCGCCTTCTTTTTGGTTATGAAGGTGGGTGCCAGGGGGCCTCCCCCGGAGTCGTGCACAGAGTGGAGACCGGCCTTGGATGGGATGGGGAGCAATGCTTCCCACTGAGTGTAGCACAGCGCTCGGGCCTTCCACCCAGGCTGTCTGATCTCACTCTTGCCCGCTGTGTGACCCCCAGCCAAGTTGCTTCAGTTCTGAGCCTCAGTTTCCTCATCTTTAAAATGGGGCCGTTGCTGTGTCTACCTCCAAGGGGAGGTTGAGCAGGAAGAAAGGAAAGCCCCTGGCGCGATGCCAGGCACATAGTAGGCTCTTTGTCGGGGTGGGTTTCCTTCCCTTGGTCAGTGCCCTCCTAACACCAGACGCTGGCAATGGGCCTGTGCCTGGGCGGCCTCCTTCTCCCCGGGAAGCTCCCCTGTCCCCTGCCCATTCCCTCTCCTGCCCACTCTTGTCCAGTTGCCTCTAACCTCGGCTTCTCCGGGTTCCCCCCCCACGCCCCTCCAGTTCTGGATGCTGATTCTGGCTACCACCATCCCCATCCCTGCTGGGTACTTCATGCCCATATTCATCTTTGGTGAGTCTGGGGTTCCCAGGGCCTGAGAGTTTCAGGGTTACTGGGGCAGGGCCACGGCTCCTGGCTCTCTCCCTCCCTCCTCAGATGGTGCTGAGGTTGGTCCCCAGGGATGGAGGGCTGTGGGGGCCGCGTCAGCCTGCCTTCCCCTCCTCACCCTGTCTGTGGCCAGGAGCTGCCATCGGGCGTCTCATAGGGGAGGCCCTCGCTCTTGCCTTCCCCGAGGGCATTGTGACTGGAGGAGTCACCAACCCCATCATGCCTGGGGGGTATGCCCTGGCAGGTGAGTGGGCTGGGTCCCCACGGGAGAGGCAGACCTTGTGGGGGGGCTGGCTGGACCCAGAGGATCGGGGCATGGAGAGATCACTGAGCCTCCCAGTGAGACCCCTCCCTGAGCCCCGTCCCCCGAGCCCCCGTTATCCTCTCTAGCTCCCATCTTGTCCCTGATACCCCATCCTCTCCCTTACAAGTTGCCCCTCACCGAGCCCAGGCTTCGGGGCTCTTCCAGCAGTGGCCAGCACGTGGCCTCTGGACAGTTCCCACCTAGCACATGGCCACGGCCACAGCAGCTTTGCCGTCCGCATGAGGCTGGCCCCTGGCCTGAGCCACCCCTGCCCCTCCCCGGCTCTGCCCCCTGCAGGGGCTGCAGCCTTCTCGGGGGCCGTGACCCACACCATCTCCACGGCGCTGCTGGCCTTCGAGCTGACTGGCCAGATAGTGCACGCCCTGCCCGTGTTGATGGCTGTTCTGGCAGCCAACGCCATCGCCCAGAGCTGCCAGCCCTCCTTCTATGACGGCACCATCATCGTCAAAAAGCTGCCATACCTTCCATGGATCCGAGGCCGAAAAATCAGGTGAGTGGTGCCCACGTTGGGCTGGCTGATGCAGGTGATGGGTCTGGGTGGGCTGGGGTGAAGGCCCCCCCCCAAAAAGACCCTCACTGTGGCTGACCTTGGACGTGGGTGGTGTGGAAGGGGCCTACACACAGCCATCTCGTCTCCACTCTCTCCAGCTCCCTGCACGACCCTGGGCAAATGCCTGGCCTCCCGGGCTCCAGTGTCTTATTAGTTGTCTGTCTGCACGACAGGAGGACAGATGTTGCCCATTTGCTGGAAACTGGGGCTCATAGAGGTGCCGTGGTTTGCTCCCCATCACACAAAGAGGCAGCGCCAGATCCGGGAGGTCCCCTCCTCTCTCCCACTCCTGCCCTGCTGTCCTTGCTGGCACGTTGGGAGCTGGAATCTCCCTTGGCCAGGCAGGACCAGAGCAGCCTCTGTTCCCAGAGAAGCAGGACTAAGAGGCTCTGAGAGTCTTGGGTCCAAGGTCCAGCTCCAAACATATGTGCAAGCCGTCACCTTGGTCCAGACCTCAGTTTCTCCATCTGTAAATGGGGGTGGCTACTCCAGTGATTTTCAAACTTGAAAGCTTTTTTTATTTTTCTTTTGCCATAAAACTTTTCTTCAAATGAAATTCTCCAGGGAAGGCTTCTGAGTAAAACAGAGCAAAATGGAGCCAGTCTGGAGGTGGGGGGTAAGGGGGAGGAGATAGGAGTTCAGGGGCTGGGAATCCAGAGCTAGGCCATAGGTGAGCTGTCCTCAAGTTCCTCCCCACCTTGGGGTTCTAGAAGCTAGAACCTAGGAATCTCTCAGCACCTGCCCACACCCAAGAACCAGCTCCCCCCAGGACCCCTGCCTCGACCTGGGGTCTGGAGATCACCTCACTCCAGGACCTGAGGGGAGCACCCTTCTGCCTCCAGCTCTCAGCCTGTGATCGTGGGGCACTTCATGAACTGTACTATCACCACACTGGCCAAGGACACACCTCTGGAAGAAGTGGCCAGGGTCGTAACCTCCACAGACCTGGCCAAGTATTTCCTGGTGGAGAGCACAGGTACCCAGCAGGAGGGGGGAGCATAGGTGGGGATACCTTTGTCTTCGGCCTTGGAGGGTCGGGTCCAGGAAAGGGGAAGCAGGGCATTGGACCTCTCAGTCACCTCAATCTGAATCTTGTCTCTGCAACTGTGTGACCTTGGGCAGGTCACTTCATCTCCTTGAGCCTCAGTTTCCACACTGGTAAAATGGAGACAAGGACCTCCCTAGCTTGGGGTGGTTGACACGTTTAAATGAGATGTGAGGAGTCTTGTATGGGTAGCTTTAGGAATTCTAGAAGCCAGGCCTGGTGTGCTTGGGAGTGGGGGTAAATGATGGCAACACTGTAAGGTCTCAGAAGACTCCTTACCTGGGCCTCCCCTTCATTGCCCAGCTAACTCAACTCTCCTGAAACCCTGTTGCCACAAGAAAAATGTCTTTTTAAAGAAAAATGAATGGATGCCCTTGTGAAAAGATACATAAGCTGCATCTTGGGGAAGGATCTAGCTAGAGCATCATTTCCCACTGGGACACAAGTACAGTAAGAGTAGGAAAGATTTGCGGGGGGGAAGGTAGCCATGTCCACTCAGGGCCATTGTCAGCCCACATATGCAAACGAGACAAGGTACACACTTGTCAAGCATAGCACAGCAGGAGTTTGATTCCTACTCATCCTTTGGGCAGGTACCTTGTTTAGTGAGCAACCTGCAAAACCCTATGGGTTACCCCCATACCCACCCAAGAGCCCATAAAGCCATACGAGCAGCAGAACCAGGGGCAAACCCCTTAAGCTCTATGAACTGCAGTTTCCCCGCCTGGAAAATAGGGACCAACGTGGAGTTGTCAGAGGTTCTCATCCCAAATGCCATGCCCTCTCCCCACTCAAATTGGGATACCTTTCACATGATCCCACAGACTACACCAAATACGCCATTTGGAAATATTTGCATAGGGGTGACTCCTCCAAGAGGCTTCACCTCCTGGAACGAAGACGAAATTGGCCTCTAAGACAAAGACCACTTCTACCCGTGGAGCCACAGAAAGCAAAGAGCCCCCAACCAGCACAGGCCCAGGCTGTGGGACCCTGCTGCGCACCCAAGAAATAGCTTTAACTGTGGTTGTTGTTGTTTAAAGGGAGAGCATTTATATGTCTAGTTGTAAAGTCTTGATTTTACTTGACAAGAAGGAAAAATGCCAGGCTGCCCCCTCAAACCCCAACACCTGCCAACTCCAGTGATATTCCAGAGTGAGGCATGCCAAGCCCTCAGCCCACACTAGGACCTCAGAACATGGGGGCCTTCTGGGTTCACACTTTCACTGGGCTGAGCCAGGTGTGGAACTTCCTGTGGGAAATGAGGGGCAAAGCCCAGCCCTGACCCACAGACATCTTCATGCAGGTGTCCCAAAGCTGCTCCTGCCTGGAGAGCCTGCCACGGGGGGAATCAGGATGCGCAGCCTTACCCAGCTGCCTTCCATTACCACACCTCCACATCAGAAGCTCAGTGACCTTGGGCAAGATAATTAACCTCTCTGTGCCTCTGGGCCTCAGCTTCCTCTTGTATAAAATCGGTGGTAATAGCTCCTGGCCCACTGGCTGCTGTAGGGTCCTGACATGAGAACACCCAGTACAGTTCTTGGCACATAGTAGCTGCCCAGTAAATGTCATGTGGCTCTCTCCCTCTCCACGTGTGCAGAGTCTCAGATACTGGTGGGCACTGTGGGAAGGGCATACTTGGTGCAGGCACTCCAGGCTGAGCCACCTTCCTGGGCTCCAGGGCACCGGGTGAGTACTCCTGTGGGGTGTCAGGGTGGGGAGTGGTCAGCCAGGGAGTGAGGGGGGCGCCTCGGGGAAAGGGGGTTTGAGAGGGACAGCCTGGAGGAGGTGGAGGCTGGCCCAGCCCTCCATGATCCTTCCCCCATCACTGTCAGCATCTCCGGGACCTCTTGGCTGGGGGCTGTCCCATGGAGCCAGTGACCCTGCAGCTGTCTCCGGAGACCTCCCTTCACCAGGTAGTGGGGAAGGTTCAGGCATGCGGGCAGACGAGGACTGTGGGATAGAAGGGAAGAGCCCCAGAGGGGAAACTTAGGCTCCAGCTTTCTTGGTACCCTGTGGCTCTCTGCTCCTCCTGGGTCGGCTTCCTCATCTGTAGAATGAGCATAGTAGTCCTTGTCCTCTCCCCGTCCCTCATTTCTAGGGTTCTTGGGATGATGCAAAGACTAGGGAAGAGGGAGAGCTTGGGGGAGCAGAAGCCTCAGGGTGGAGACAGTAGTTGAGAAGATGTCTTTGCATCAAGGCACACATGGGTCTCAATTTCAGGTCTACCACATTCTCCCTGTGCGATCTTGGGCAAATTATTTAATCACTCTGAATGCTGACCCCTTCCCACCCTGCAAAACAGGGGCTTTGGCACATGGGGTCGGAGAAGGACAGAAGCAGGTTGGGGACGTGGAGGTGGCCTCAGCCCCTCTGTGCTGCTGGATGATGCTGGATCATGCTAAATAAACCGGTCGTTTCCATTGGTCCCTTGTGTGGACTCTGGAGACCCCTGGTGGTCACAGTGGACATTGCAGGCCCAGGGCCTGGTGTCCCACCCACTGTTACTGTGCCCCACCCCTTTCCCAGGGTTTGAGACAGGAGGGTGGGCACCCCTGGGACAGAGCCCTGGCCAGAGCCTCCACCCCAGCTCACAGCCCCCAAGCTAGGGAGAGATTGAGGCCCGATGGGCTGAACACCATCTATCCTCCAATGTTTCCTAACAACCCCCGCCCTCTAGGCACACAACCTCTTCGAGCTGTTGAACCTTCAGTCCCTCCCCGTGACGTCCCTGGGCAGAGCTGTGGGCTCCGTGTCTTGGGTGGAGGTACGAGGGTCCCGGGGCAGAGCAAGGCAGAAGAGCCAGGCTTGAGCAGGCTGGGAGACGGGGGGCACAGTATCATCCCATCCAAATTTAGAGAGGACTCTGGATTCTGATGAGCCCCACTTTTTGGCCCAGAGTGCCTGGCCACTGTTTTGTGCCTGCCATTCTCTGGGCCTAAATGATGCCATCTGTGCTGTGGGGAGGCACTGGCTTTAGCATTTACCCCGGAATCAACCCTTAGGGCAGCCAGACAACCCTGGAATCCCCACTCTCAGCCTCCTCTACACCCTCCCTCCCCCAAACCCCTCTTTCTCTGTTCTAGTTGAAGAAAGCAATTTCCAGCCTGACAAACCCACCAGCCCCAAAGTGAACCAGCCTGGCAAGATGAAACAAGTGAAGGAGACCCTGCCTGTCTTCCCCCATCACAACACACCCCTGCAGCCCAGCTCAACTCCTCGGTGAAGGAGGCAGCTCTAACTTAGCCCCGAAGGGGGCCCCACATTCACCATGTTCCATCCTGGGTGGAACAAGCGCTCCATACCGTAAAAGACAAATCCCACCCTGGACCGAGCAGGATTCGAGACCGCGGAAAACCCGTGGACAGTGGGTGGCTCACTGAAAATTCACCAAATTCACAGGGAAGACATTAGCATATGGCTTTCAGCAAGGTCAGGCACAGATGCCCTCTGGGGTTGTAGGACTCCCAACCAGAGGCTCCTGAGAAAAATAAAGCTGGTTCCCAGAGCTGTAGACTCTCTCTCAGCAACAAGGGTGTGGACAGACCTGTGCTGGCCCTGCGTGAGCTCTTGGCGCCCCCTGGTGGCCACGTGGGCCTCGCGGGCCCGGGTCCCTGGCCTCCCACCGCTCCTCCTGCGCCCCCTTCCTGGCAGGGAGATAGGGCAGGTGAGCAGGTCCCCCATCAGGTCTTATGATGCTTGTCCTCAGGTATAAGAAGGACCCTGTGGCCCAGTCACCGTCACCCCAGCTTCCTTGTTGGCTGAGCCGGGGCTGATAAAGCAGCGTCCCTAGGTGTGGTTCCAGGGGCCCCACACAACCCTGGGCATCTTCCATGGTCCTCTCCTGGCTGGGTGGCACAGATTGACCACCTGTATGTCTGCTGGGGGGGTAGGGACCCTCCCCTAAATCCCTCTAGAACCCCCTTACCCCAGGGGCTCGCGGACACCCCTTCCCCCAGAGACTAGGCCAAGTTCATCCAGGGTGAATCCCACACTTTAATGTCTGCAGAGAACCTTCTGGGAGGTGGGAGGAGGGTGCAAGGAAGGGGGCAGGGGCACCAGGGACAGGTTCAGAGAATAAGGGACAGACAGACACTCCAAAGACAGAGATCCTCATGAAGGGAGCCGAGGAGCAGACGCTTAGCTACCAAAGAGGCTGTCCTGCCTCTGATGGGGGGCACAAACACAGAGGGAGGGGGGAGGACTGAGCCCCAGGGTCAAGGCAGGGTCCCCAGGCCCCACTCCAAGGGGGTCTCCCAGGTCCTTCTGTGGCTGTCTGCCTGGGGGGCCCAGCGGCCGGCTCCTCTGGGCAGCTGGGCCTGGTGCCTGCTGAGAGTCCTCGAGCTCACGGATGGCGGAAACCCCACAGGGGAAGGTGCCCACTTGAGCCAAGTAAAGAAAGGAGAAGGGGGATTATGGCTCCCACTGCTGGGGCAGGTCCATGGAGGCACAGAATGGTCCACAGGGAGTGCTGGCCCCCCATCCCTGCCGCATCCACCCTCTGCCTGCCCTGAGGGGTCAAGAAATGCCCAGCCCAGACCCCGACATCCTGATTGCCTGGGCTGCCCACCAGGCAAGGTCACAGTATGAGGAGGCTCCGAGGCACACAGCCCCCACCTCAGTTATAGAACACCTCGTCCTCCTCCTCCGGGAGGGAGATGCTGTCCACCGAGGGGAGGGAACCCTGCAGATGGGCCCCACCCTCAGGCCCCAGGCCCCGAGGCAGCTGCAGCTGATGCTGTTGTTCAGGGCTGGGGGGCTGGGGGCCGACAGCTGTGATGGGGGGCTCGTCAGGTGAGGGCCAGCCGTCGGGAGAGAGGCCAGGGGAGGAGAAGGCCAGAAGACTGTCATCCTGTGAGGGGTCACTCAGAAGACTGTCCTGCAGGTAGACGCTCTCCAGGTCTGGAAAACCAACGGGAGGGGTAGGGAGCGTGAGGAACGGAGTCCCAGACCCTGCTCCTCACCCTCTCCTGGTGTGTGAGGGAAGGTGAGGGGCAGAAGACTGGCCTCCAAATCCTGCTTGGTCACTGCCGAGCTGTGTGACCTCGGGCAAGCCTCTCTGAGCCCCAGTTTCTCCCTGGGGGTTACAGGGCTGGTGGAGCGAGTTGGAGGAGTTAACAGCAGGCTGTGCCGGCGGGGAGGATTAAGTAAGATAATGGGCCTGCAGGTCACCCAGGACCCAGGCCCTCAGTAGTGACCTGGGGTTCTGGAAAGGTGGTTGGCTGTGCTTGGTATTAAGGTTCAGATCCTGGCTCTGATGCCTCGAGCTGTAACCCAGGGTGAGTTTCCTGGTGCCTCAGGTTCCCTTATTTGTAAAATGGAGATAATAACAGGGCCTCCTTCTTAGAGGTGTGGTGAGGATGAAGTGAAATGGCCAGGAAAACGCCAAACTCGGTAAGCACTTCATTCCCTGGCCTGTGACCACACTCGTTCTTTCCTTTACGCTTACGGCGCCTGGTGGGCAGTGGGCAGGGCAAGGATCCCCCGCTCTAGCCCACGGATGCAGAAACCCAGGCTGAGGGAAGGAGGGGCTCGTCCGAGGTCACCGTGCATTTGGTGGCAGGCACCCAGCCCCTGCTCTGCTCCACCCGCCCCGCCCGGGCGCCCACCCGGGCAGTACCCTGGAGCTGGACCATGTCCTGAGGGCCGTTCTCGAGGTGCAGCTCCTCGTCGTCCAGCGAGGACCAGGCGCTCAGTGTGGCCTCTGTGATAGCAAACTGCTCAGCAACCCCTGCCGGGGGGTGGGGGGAGAACAGTGAGACCCAGCTCAGCAGGGACACGGCGGGGGGGGGGGGGGTAGCACAGCGCCAGGATGGCCTGGTACCCAACAGCCTAGTGGTTTGCTGGGCTGACCATCCGGGTCCCGGTGATCAGATGGCCCCCTGAACGCCCTGTCCACCCCATGGCATTGTTTTGCCCTGCCTCGACAAGGCCCATGTGGCGACCCTCGGTCCCCTAAGGACCAGCGCCCCAACCAGTCCCCGTCCCCAGGCTCCCCCGCCCCCAGCCACTGACCTGCAGCAAATCGGGCCTCACGCAGCGCATCAGGCAGGCAGCAGTAATGCTCATCCTCAGCGGGGGACAGCTCCCAGCGTGACCGCTGAGCGCACCAGCCCTTCCACTCGATGAGGTGGGCCACGCGGCCACGTGCCATGGCCGTGGGCTTTGTGATGTGGTCCTTGATGCTCTGCACCACCCCTGGGAGCATTGAGGGCAGCTGGGAGGCTGCTCTGACCCAAAACCCTGCCCAGGGGCCCACCCCCGCTACCGCAGGCCCAGCCAGTGGCTTGCACCCCACAACCATTCAGTGCTCTGTACTCGCCCCATGCCGGGTCCTCACAGCCCCAAACCCACAAAGCCCTGAATCTGTCTCCGCAAGTGCTCCTACCCGACTAGTGCCTATGTCCACTCTGCACCCCACACCCTCCCCGAGCCCCAAGGCCCCACCTTACTTAGATCCCTGCCCATGCAGGGGCCCCATGCCCTCCCAACATCCCACTCCCAGGCAATGTTCCCCTCCACCTGGTGCTTCTCCCCCAGACCTGCCACATCCCTCATTCCCTTTGACCGGGTTCAGACCCTTCTGTCCTAGAAGATCCACTCAAGGATCCACTCAAGATCCGCCCAGCCCTCTCCCTTTATTCGTTCATTAGCCAGTTCTGAGAGAGCACCCCCTATGCCAAGGCCAGTGCCAGCTCTGCTGAGAGGGAGACATGTGTGGGATGCAGCAGACCGGGAAGGCTTCCTGGAAGAGGTGGACCGGGGTTGAACTTTACATGTAAATTGGTAGGTTTGTAGGTGCGTTGGACAGATGGAGGCAAGACTGGAGGCTATTTCAGAGATGAGATGAGGAGGAAGGCATGGCAGAATCTGGCATGATTCCGGGACTGCCAGGGGTGAGATATGGGGGCAATACTAAGACTGGGATGGCAGAAAAGGCTGGGGAGCCCATCAGGGGCAAGACTTTGGGCTGAGAGAGCCAAGCTGAGGACTCCAGAGTTTTCCTTCTAGCAATGGGGAGCCACAGCAGGGTAATAAGCAAGAGAGTGACAGGTTAGATCTGTTGTTTAGGAAGAGCATCCCAATTAGAGGATGGGGCCAAGGGTGGAGACCAGGCACCATCAGGAGCCATTAAAGGGATCCAGCAAGAGACAGGACAGGGGCTGCGCAGTGGGGAGGAGGGCCTGAGGGGCTCTCAGGAGTAGACCACCTCGATGTGGAAGTGGACAGACAGGGCTGTCAGGAATGATTCAGCATCTCTCTGAACCAAGGCTGAGCATACAGACACTGGGGTCTCAGAGCCGTGACGTGAGGATTGGCAATATTTAAGCAAGATGGGGGATCCACAAAGGAAGCTAGAGACACGATACTGAGAAAATGGGAAAGATGGAGGTGAGGAAGAAGGGGGAGAACCCCCCCGACCCTCCTCCCAAGCTAGGAGTGCGGGCAACCAGAGAAAGTTCTGGAGGAGGTGGTTAGAGGAGGTGGTTCGAGTGGCCCCTGCAGGGCAGGTGAGGCAGAGGGAAGGGGTGGGGGAAGAGTCGAGGCAAATGGGAGGGAGGGGAGCACGGGCACTCTGAGGAGCTGTGAGGGATTTAATGAGACGTGAGCCTGAGGTACAGGGAACAGAGTGGTGGGCAAAGAGCTGGCCAGCCGAGAATGGCCCGGAAGGTGTGCTGTGGGTGACGGGGGCAGAGGCGGAGGCGGCCCCCGGAGACCCCTCTGCTGGCCTGCGTACCTACCTCCCAGCTACTGCTGCTTCCCCCCGGCAGCCCTCTCCAGAGACTTGCCCTTAGCTGATGGGAGCAGCCCCACCCAGGGAGAGCCTTCCCAGGGGCCACCACCGACCAGCGGGGGACTGACACCCAAGCAGCCGCCAGCCTAAGTTCTGTGGTTCGATCTGGGCTCCTGAGCTCCCCAGGGATCGGGCTGGGACAGATTCCTCCCGCAGTCCCATCTTTGCCGAGCTCCTTCCCTTGCCCGGTCCCGATGCCCTCACTCCTACAATTTGCCCTTGAGAACAATACCTCCATAAATCGCTCACACAATTCCCGTCTGGGGCTCTGCTTCTGGGGAACCCGACCCACGGCGGGGTGATGGGCAGACTGCACCTGCTGCAGAAGCCGGGGAGGCCGACATCTGAAAGACTGGGGCCATTCCCTCACAGCTTCGGGAACCCCCAACAACTTAACAGGGGGTGGGGGGACGGGAACCCTAAGTCACTCGTCCCTGCAGAACCCGGCGTGGAATGTGGATCCAGGAAATGTTGGCTCCGACGGGCTGCACGCCTTCCAGCTGCAGTTCTGTTTTGCCCTGCCTGCAGCAAGGGGTGAGGGCTGGGCCGCGCTAACCCCAGGGCAGGACAGGGCCGTCGGAGCCTACCCACAAGGGACGAGGTGGCCAGAGCCGCCACGTTGTAGTTGCTGGAGCAGGACCTGGAGTCAGACAGGTAGCCATTGGTGGTCTGGAAGCACCTCTGCAGGAAGGACAGGAGGGGTG